GTGTGTGTGGTCTCACTATATGTGGAATCCAAAACAAAACAATACACACACACACACACACACACACAGCTCATAGATAAAGAGAACATATTGGTAGTTGCCAAAGTTTGGGGTGGTGGTTGCGGGGGAGGTGAAATTGGTCAAGGGGGTGAAAAATTACAAAATTCCAGTTATAAAATAAACAGGTCATAGGGAAGATTTAAGTGACCTTCATTTACTTGCCCTATGCCCCACCCTTAAGGAATACCCTCTGTATTGGACTGTGACTGTATTAGGCTTCCTGGAACATGCCACTCTCAAAAGGACTGATGATGCTCTGTGTAGGGCTGTGATTTATAATTTAAACTTTGAATTGTATTCTGAGGTAACCACAGATTCAACAAAACTTGGGTCCACCAAGTGGGAAGGGGGTGTGGGAGGGAATAATCTGGTTTCTTTTAGTAATTTTTTTTATTTGGGTAATGTTTTTCCAATGTTCCACATGAAGGCCTTCTTTGTTGTTGTTTCTTTGACTTGGAAGAAGCTCTTCAACAGAGCATATTGCTTGGGTCAGTAAATGACCTCAAAATCTATTAGAATTGTGAAGTGTCTCCTAAAATGGCCAGTTCCTAGAGGGAACCAAATAGACTTTAATGTAAAGGGCAGTGGATGCAGGTGTGTGTGTGTGTGTGTGTGTGTGTGTGTGTGTGTGTGTGTGTGTGTGTCTAGTTCAGGTGCTGTGAAAGCCTCCTCCAATCAGGTCTAGAATTCCTGTGAAGTCACCTGCAGTGAAAACAATATGGTTTCTGCTCAGGCCAAGGGATCCACTGACCTGTTTTTATAAGTTCAGAGCATTGTGAACAGAACCTCAACCTAAAATCCACTTAGGTTTCATGGATCTTGCATGATCTTTGAGAATTACGCATATGCTTGTGCCTATAGAAGTTACTGGACATTCTATAGATGTAGTGATTGTCCCGGGGTAGTTCTGTTATCAACCTTCTGGCGTGTCTTTATGTTGTTCATTTGGAAAGCCGGGGGCAAAAGAGAGGTGATGTAGCATTTCTGAAAATTACAACTTAAAACCACACAGTAATTTTTAGACCTTAAAAAGGACTTCAGGAAGATACCCAGGGTTACTGAAAAGCTTCTTTCCATTTAATGAGGTAGTCTTGTGATTCCCTTGTTTTGTCTCTTTGGTTCATTGGAAATATTTCAGTGTTATATGACCACTCGATGCAGAGTCTGCATTTCTCTATAATAAATCCCTCTGCCAAATGGGAGTTGCAGACTTGCTACTGGAAAGAGTGAAGCAAATTGGTAAGACTATCCTCATGTGGGAGCGTATTTCTGTGGGAGTATAGTCTTGATTAAAGTGTCAATGCAGGAATCAGACTCCTGGGGGAGAGGCAGGATCTCCTGACAGGACCTGCTAACCATTTCTAGGCTATAACATTGGTGCTGTTTGAGGTGCAGGGAGGATGTCTAAGCAAGTCAAGGAGAGGTTGACTTGGGTGATTAAGCAAGAAGCAAAGGATTTTTGGTTAAACTGAAGACTTCATTTGGGAACCAAAAATGTAAACAAATCTCTTGGACCCCCGAACCACATATTTTCCCTGAAAAGCATGCCTTTTTTTTTCACTAATGAAATTTTGTTGAGGGTTATGTTATTAAGGAGTGAACTTGGATGGAACTTCTTTAATGGCATACTGTACTAGAAATCTGAAGACCTGCAGGAGATTTAAAACCAACTATTGCTATAACTTTTTAAAAACTGTGAAATTATCCAAATGCACATAAATCAGGTTTTAATATACTGTATGATGGGTGGGTAGACTGTTCATTATACCATTCCTTTCTTTGAATTCTCAGGCATGGTTTGGTAGCACAAGAACTCTGTAACATTAGCAAATTCAATAAGAATATATGGGGAAAAATGACACGGTGGTTTATATCTGAAGTTAGCAGAATCTGCGGGTTGGGGTAGCACTTACAAGCAAGAAGACCAGACAAATTCTACTGGCATCCTAAATGGTATTCCAGCTGAATTTGATTTTATCCAACATGATACAGTGCACCTCCACATCTAAGGGAACAGAGTGTGAGGCGTTTCTGTTGGGTAGTGAATTTTGGTTGCAGCGAGGGTTTTGAAAGAGAGAGAGAAGCATGGGAGAAAGAAAGATGAGAAATAAAGTTTAAAAAACAGTAGGTTGGAAGTAGAATGTTACAGATCTCATTACATTAAAAAATATTTCTATCAAAATAAAACACGTACCTCAGTAATTTTCAACCGGTGTGCTGCAAGCATTTTTAAAAACATGCAATGCCTGACTATTTAGTCAGGGACACTGACCTCTTTTCCCTTAGATTGTCAAATTAAAAAAAAATTGACAACAGCCAATACAACAGTAGTCAACTGGTGGGAATGAATCAAAATCATACCTTTTTGTGTATGTCGGCAAAAAATATAGTATTTTTGGTGTGCCGCAGAATTTTCACAGTTTATGTGTGCCATGAGACGAAAAAGATTGAAAATTGCTTATGTACCTGGTTGAGTTGATAATCAGAGCAGTTAATGATTTATAATGAAAAGCTCTTAGCCACACCACTTCTCCATTCTCTATTTTCTCTGCCCCAGAGGAAGTTGCTTTGAAACTGTTTCTTCTTGCAATTTCAGCTTATTGCATATAGTATACATGTCATTATTACTTGATTTATTAATTTTAGACATTATTTATGGACTTTCTGCTATTATAGACAAAATTTAGTTACTTATATAATTTATTCATTTTTTTAGCTCATGCGAATATACTTATTATTCTACATTTGTTCCTCATGATACACTTAAATAATATACCTATTTTTAATTCTTGCTCATACTATAAGGAATAAATTTTGATTTCCCACATTGCAATGTAACTGTCCTTCACCTTTTCTTTCTTCCTTTCACCAAATTTCTAGTATTTCACTTTCACTTTAAATTTTTAAGGTTCATAAGATATATATTCTACTTAGTAATTGTAATTAATTATTCCAGGTTTTATTTAGGGATTGACTAGAAATCTGAAAATTAGCAAATACTGTTTACATTGCTATAGATAGGTAACTGTTTATGCTCTGGCTAATAGTATCCTATAATTATATTTCCTTCCTTTGGCATATTTTTGTTGTTTTTCTGAAGATATTACTAAAGTTTCTAATTTATTACATTGACTGCTTTTATTGCATTCCCAAGTTCCTAATAACTTCTTAAGAATATTATCAAGTCTACAAATATTTTGCACAGATAGTTTTTCCCCCCTGAAGCCTTGTATCTTCCTGCTAAAAGGTTTATAGTGAGTTTACACCTATTTTATTTTTTATAACAATTTAAAGAAGTCCAGTAAAGAGCAAAGATACATATGCATGGTTACTTCTCCATTTTAACCTTTGTTACTCCTTGACACGTACTGAAGCAGGAAGATGCTTGCTAGAACCTAATTCCAACCTACTTTCTTTTTTGAATTGTTCAGTCTCCTCCAACTTTATATGTATGAAACAGAACTCATTTTCTACCCAATCCCTATCCCAGCCTGCACCTTTTTAAAATGAAAATGTTCCTGAATAGGCTAAATTGCTCTCACTCTCCAGGTACTCTTCAAAACTTTATTCACTTATTTTTAGAGTTTTGGGGAAATGTTGTCATATTTTGGTTTCAATTACCATTCATTAGTGGATAAGTCCTAAATCAGTATCTACTGCTGAGATGTCTCTTTTGAGCTCCTCTCTTGTCTAGCAGATATGTTCTATGGCACACTCACAGACATCTCACATTAGTAAGGACAGAACCACATCACCATCTTTCCTCCTGAATCTGCTCATCCTCATGTGGTCCCAGCCTCACGGAGTGAAAAACTTCAAGCCAGGGATTTAGGAGTTCCTCTTCACTGCTTTCATTTCTTCACGCTCTCACATCTCAACAATCATTAATTGCTGTCAAATTGATCTCATAAACATTTCTCAAATTCATTCTATTTCTTTTTTTTTAATTTAAATTCTTTAGTGTTTAAATTATTACATATGTCTCCCTTTTCCCCCATTGACCTTTCCCTAGCCATTCTCACTCCCCAGCACAGACCCTTACCATATATAATAAAACAGGAGGCAAAGGCCTCTGGTTAGATTGGGGGAAGAGAGATATTACTTACATGGAGTCTTTCACCATCAATGTTTATACTGTACCTAGATATTATGGGTTAAATAGTCTCCCTCTCCTCCTACCCAAATCTTTTTTTTTTTTTTTTCATTTGCAAAGCATTTTTCTACTAGAAAACAAGTGCAGTCTAGTTCGAACACCAACTGGTCCCTAAATTACACACACCTTAATGACAAGACTCCCCACATGCGAATGTAAAACATTTAACTTAAAAATGTTGACACTACAATATATAAAATAGCTATTATAAATGCACATAGTTTATTCTATAGCTGCCAGGTTTACTTTTTTTCTTTTTTTTTTTCTTTTTAGGAAACTGTAAGTTATTACACTGTGGTTAAGACTTGTCTCTTCACACTTGAAAAAGCCCACATTCTACTGTATCACAGTGATGCATGGTCAGACTTAACAGCCCCAACTGTTAAACACTTGGATCAAGTCATAACCAGCTTTATTGCAAAAGGACCCTGTACACATTTCTCAATTCCAGTACCTTAATAACTACCCAACAAGTCACTAACATACAGAAACATGCATCATGAGAAGCAAGAAATATCACCCATCCCTTCTGCCTCTTAGCAACTTGTCACTCCTGAGCAACAGTGCTCACGTTCACTGAGGTCTGTGAACAGTAGTCCCTTTTCCGCATTCATCCTGAGTGAAAGACGGAATGACTTAAGTACGAATGCAATATATTATACACAATTTGCAATATATTATACAAATGCAATATATTATACACAATTTCTCACACAAAAGAAGTCACACATGAAACCAAAGAATCGTACAGAATTTATTACAAAACACCCGTCAAAGCTGCCTTCCCTCAAGCTCTCTCTCCCCGTATCCGGCAAGCCAGCTGGATGTCCTTGGGCATGATGGTGACCCTCTCGGCGTGGATGGCACACAGGTTCGTGTCTTCGAACAGGCCCACCAGGTACGCCTCGCTGGCCTCCTGCAGCGCCCCGATGGCCGCGCTCTGGAACCGCAGGTCCGCCCTGAAGCCCTGGGCGATCTCCCGCACCAGCCTCTGGAAAGGCAGCTGCCAGATCAGAAGCTCCGTGGATTTCTGGTAACGACGGATTTCTCGAAGCGCAACGGTCCCGGGCTTGTAACGACTGGGCCTCTGCACCCCGCCGAAAGTGGGGGCGCTTTTCTCGGCGGCTTTAGTGGCCAGCGGTTTGCGGGGCGCCTTCGCACCCGTGGATTTGCGAGCCGTCTGCTTGGTTCGGGCCATTTTCGTCCACTCGATGCCGAGGTGTTTTTTTTTTAGGCCGCTTTTCTGAGTCCGTGATGCCGCTCCGGCCGCCCGCCCGAGGGAGAAGCCGCAGCCCGGAAGCTAAGTGCACGCGCGGGCCGCGCCAACGAATAACCAAACCGCTTTGCCCCTACCCAAGTCTTTATGCTGAAGTCCTAATCCACCAACATCTCAGAAGGCAACTTTGTTTGTATATAAGTTCTTTGTAGATGTAGTTAGTTAAAATGAGGTCCTAGTGGAGTAGGGTGAGCCCCTAATCCAATAGGATTGGTGTCCTTATAAAAAGAGGGAAGTTTAGACATAGACACACATAGAAAGAAGACAATATGAAGAAAACCAGGGGAAAAGATGGTCATCTATAAGCCAAAGAGGTGCCTAGAACAGATCCTTCTTTCAAAGCCCTTATAAGGAGTCAACCCTGCTGGCTTCTAGCCTTCACAACCATGAGATAATAAATTTCTGTTTTTTAAACTACTCAGTCTGTGGTACATTATGATGGTGATTCTAGCAAGCAAATATACTTGTCATGAGAGTAGGAGTCAATAGATGGTAAATTGTATAGATAGATGAATAAATAAATGCATAAGATGAGAGATGACTCTCGGTTGAGGAGATCAAGAGAAATTTCAATTGGTTATTAGGTTATCTGAGGATCAAAATAGTTCTCAGAGTTCAGTTGATGATTTGGAGAAATCAGTAAATATGAAATTCAAATGAAGGCAACAGGAAGGAAAGTAATAAATTAATGGCTTATAAATAATGAGTTGTAGCAAGGTAAGGAATACACCCTTTTTCCTATGCCACTGAATTAAAGGGCATAGGAAACTTGACTACAGCAAGGGGCTAGGAATGTGGTATAAAAAACACTCATTATCTTTGCCGTACATTGATATGTCACTGAAGTACTCTAGAGATCTCACATATTCTTTGTCCTTCTATCCTTATCTAAAGGATATCCCACCCCTATCCTAGATCTACATTATGGGCATCAAGATATATGTGCATGCTAATATTTCCTACTTTGATAATTGATAATTTTGGTATTATTTTTGAATAAGTACTTTGGATTTTTTTAAATTATCTATCTTGATAAAATTGTGAATGTTTTCAGATGTCCTTCTTCATATCGTTTTAGGTACTTTTAAGTCAGATGAACACACAGTGATGTGCTATGGAAACCAAGAGGAAAATACAAATGCTTTCTAGGTAATAAATGTCAAAATTTACCATTATGTTTCAAAGATGTGTTTTATAGGAAACATCTATAAAAGTGAATAACAAGTAGTCTGCCTTGTTATTGAAAATAGCAGATTATTAAGAATTGACGCAAGGTTATAAATGTAGTTTATATTATATTTACATTTTGGTCTTCATAGGAAATATTTACAAGATGAAGTTGGACTGATGGAAGAGGGGATGCCATGGTTATGAAGTTGCAAAAAGGATCCTTCATTCATAGTCACAGTCTCAGGGAGGTCATTGGACTTGGAGCATGTTGCTTGTTGAGCTTTGGGGAGACCCCGGCCTAGATTTTTCATGATCTGAAGGTGCTATAATTTACTGGGCTTGGATCCTTCTTTTTGGAAAGGCTTTCTAGTTCTCATTTCTGTTTTTCTATTGCAGTTGTTATGCTTCTAGTGTTAGAGATCTAACTTAAACAAAATCTGTTGGAGTCACACAATTGACTCCTATCCGGACAGATCATACAGAAAAACATGTGTGAGTGGCCACTTTCATGATGGACTCATTAGTCTGGGAGGTAGGTAAACTATAAGACAATTTTAGAGTTAATGTCCCATTTTCTCATGTTGGTGCAGGCAATTAAATGGTTTTCCTGCCTTGGAAGTTATCTAAACCTATTTCTTCTTCTGTAGAACTTGGAGAGCTACTAAACTGTATCTTTTAACACAGGGTATAAAGTAAAATATGCTACACTTTGAGTGTTATTTAGGGTTCTTAAGAGAAACAGAAAAAACTAGGAGGAGGAAGAGGAGTAGGAGGAGAGAGAGAGAGAGAGAGAGAGAGAGAGAGAGAGAGAGAGAGAGAGAGAGAGAGAGAGAGAGAGAGAGAGGCTCAAGTGATTTTGGAAGTGACTTGCCATCTGCAAGGTGGAGACTCAGGAATGCTGGTGCAGTTCAAAGACCTGAGAGCTGGGAGGCTAATGGTGTGGATTTCAATCTGTTAGAGGTCTGAGAACCAGGCATGCCAATGTTCCAAATCACTCAGTCAGGCAGAGAATAATTTCAAGATTCCTCTACCTTTTTATTCTCTTCATGCTCTCAGAAAATTGGACAATGCCCACCCACACTGGGGAAAGCCACCTGCTTTACTCAGTTTGCCAATTCAAATGTTAGTCTTTTCTGGAAACACCTTCACAGACTCACCAGAAATAATGTTTAACACGTGATCAGGCATCCCTGGGTGCAGTCAAGTTTACACACGAAATTAACCCATCCTACACAACCTTCTTTCTAGAACTTAATTTCAGCTCAATGTTGTTATTCAACGAGCCACTAAATCATGCTACATAGTTAATTTTTTAATGGCTTTCCTAACTCAACCATGTCTTGCTTCGTAGAGTCTTATCCTTGAGTAGATTTATGTGTATATATTTTTTTACTTTATCTCCCTTTTTAGGTAGGATTATAACACTTGTTTTAGTCTGATCCATGAATTTAGCCAATAATCTCTCAGGCAAGTTCTTTCGTCACACCCCAGGAACCCACCAAATTGCTATACACACAGCAGACGTTGCAGAAATATAGGGTTTGCATAATTAATTGCCTGAACTCAGATTGCATTCAAACAGTTGACAACCATACTGAAGTTGCCCAGGGAGCTTACAGTTCAATGGATCCCTCCCAGCCTTCTTACAAATGCCTAGGTAGTCAGGTCATTTGAAAACCATAGGAAACCTGGGGAGAAGCAAACAAAATGTGTTTAAATATCAGGTTATTATTCATGTTTATTATTTTAGCTAAGAGTTGCTGAACACTTACTATGTGCCAAACACCTGAGCCAAGGTCTTATGTTAAATGGTAATTCTGGGAAAAGTATTATTATCTCTATTTTTCAGATAAGGAAATGAAGGCGTAGAGTATTAAGCAACTTGCTCCAAGTCACAGAGCTTACATGGCCTTTGAGTGATCTGAAATTGAATCTAGGACTATCTAAATTTACAGCACCGGGCCATGACCTGGAAGATAACCTTTGCTATTAAGTTACGTTTGAGAAATGATGGGCCCAACCACTGTCTGAGAGCAAATATCTCAGCTGCATTGCTCAGAGCGCTGTCAGTAGTTGCCTCTAACAACTCAGCTTGCTCTTCACTCTGCCTCACATTCTGAGGCACATTTCCTATAAATACTTTCAGTTTTAGGTTGACTGCCCTTGTACTATATGGTTCACTTCAAAGGTAAAATACCAATTTGATCTAAAGAAGTAATTTTTGCCTTAACACCCCTGCTGCAAAAGAATAAAGGAACAGCTGAAGTTTCCCTGTGTAATTCCTATATAACCTGACATGACTCCTGGCCTCATAAAGGATGTAAACTTTCATGACCCTGGTTATTATTCCCAGGGTGATTTTAAAGTTTATGTATGTGTGTGTGTGTGTGTGTGTGTGTATGTGTGTGTGTGTGTGTGTGTGTATGCATACACATTTGGAAAACAAAGATAAAACATGATAAATCATTCTGAACCTTAAGATCTCTTCATTTTCTCTAGTTAATTGCACAAGACTCCCATGTGAAACTAATTACAGAGGGTCACATTGAGTACTGCATCCTCAAAATGCTTTGGGTTTACATTATTCATTAAAAGTGTGTGTGTGTGTGTGTGTGTGTGTGTGTGTGTGTGTGTTTGGGGAGGGGGTGAGGGGGATCAATTTTTGTAAAAGTTATTTCCAAAAGGAGTCAAATAACTATTTCAAATCACTATAGGTTGTATAGTTCCATGAAATGGTTCTCTCTAAAAACAATGCACATCTTGTTTTGTTTACAGAGATCTCTAGTGTATTTTGTTTTGGCCTTTTCTACAACACTCAGCAAATTGGTTTTTACCCAAATGTTCCATATGTGCTGTGTTATTTGACCATCTGTTGTTTTTGACACATTGCTTTTCTCTCCAGGTTTCATTTATTTGTTATTTTTAAAGTCGTCCAACAATGAGTTGCCCATTTAATAATTATAGAGATATTCTTGCTTGCATGTGAAGTAATGTCAATCTTTTGGTTGCCAGATATCAGCTAAATTGTCCATGATCAGGAGTTTCAGCTACATACATTTGCCCATCTTTCGAGTAAGTACTATTGGGTTTTACTTTTCAATAGTCTCAAAATATACCTCTGTACTAAACAAAGAGGGAACCATGAAATTACTACAGAAATTCCAGTTTGAGGCTTGTTTCTCATGAAAATAAGCAGTCCAATTACTCTACAGAACCCATTCCTAATATATGAATTCAATAAAGTAGAAGCATGTAAAATAAGTATCTGGAAATAGGTTGCATTTTATACAGTAATAAAGCACTGCATAACATCAGAAAGGGAAACTAAGAAAACAACCCTATTTACAATAGCATAAAAAACAACAACAATAACCTGGCAACAAATTTAACTAATAATGTAAAAGACCTGTAGTTGAAAAATTATAAGACACTGAAGAAAGAAATTGAAGAAAATACACAGTCTTGCCAGTATGGCTCAGTGACTGAGTGTTGACATAGAAACCAGGACATCATGGTTTGATTCCTGGTCAGGGCACATGCCAGGGTTGCGGGCTCCATCCCCAGGAGGGGGCATGCAGGAGGCAGCCAATGTTTTTTCTCTCTCACATTGATGTTTCTATCTCTCCCTCTGCCTTCCTATCTCTCTCTAAAAAATAATAAATAAATAAAGTATAAAAACAAAAGAAGATACAAATAAGTGGAAGCATAAAATATATTTCTGGATAGGAAGAATTAATGTCATAAAAATGTCCATACTACCCAAAGCAATCTATAGATTCAACACAATTTCAATGACATATTTCACAGAACTAGAAAAAATATTTGAAAATTTTATATGAAACCACAAAAGACCCCAAAGA